GGAGAGGGCGGCAGGGGAGAAGACGCGTGTGCAGTGAGGACAGAGGGGAGAGGACGGCGCCGGAGAAGACACGCGTGCAGTGAGGACGGGGGAAGGAGAAACGACGCTCGGACCAGCTAGGTTCAGCCAATGCCCGGCCCGCGGCACGGTGGGAGCGGCTTTGAAGGGGCTCACAGGCCGGATCTGAGGTGTCCAGGGAGGGCCCGCAGGACTCACTCTTGACGGCTGGTCTCCGAGGGTCATAGGAAACCGCGCTGACCACCGGCGCCAGGTGAGCGCTGCTGGTGCTTGGGCCGTCGTCGGCCGGCTCCTCGGGGTCAGGGTGAGAGCTGCTGCTGCTGAAGGCGGGGTACGGGGCCGGCTTAACCCTGCAAGCGGAGCGACGCCTTAGTCACCAGCACGGGAAAGCTGCCCCCAGCAGGCAGGGCAGCCCAGGGCCGGCCTGAGCGAGGGAGGACGACTGGCCGAGTGGCTCCGACCCGCAGAGCCAGCACCGGGACGGCGGGCGGTGAAGACTGCTGCGGAGTGACCTCCTCTCACCACGTGGGTGTGGATCTGTGCCGTGGAGCGCAAGCGTGGTTTCCACCAAATGAGTCGCTCGTCACAGAAAATGTTTCTGGTTTGGACGGGGCAAAGGGAAGCACGGGGAGAGTTTCCTGCTCTCCGCCTCAGCCTGAGAGGGAGCCGCAGGGCCGTCTGTCCCAGACCATGGCTCAGGCCGAGGCGCAGGGCAGGGAGCACTGAGCCGGGAGCTCTGCTCCAGCCCCTCCACGCTGCCCTTCCTTCGCCCCAGAAGCGAGCCGACTCCTCTCAGGGAGCTCTGCCCCAAGCAGGGGACACCGGGCAGGGGCAGAGCTTACTTCACTCTCTCAGGCACAGCTGCTCCTCCCGTGCCGAACTTCTCCTGCCTCCTTCGCACGTCGCGAGGTGGCTTGGCCACAGAGTTGACAAAGGCCATCTTTGCTTGTCGGCCTGCGGAAAAACAAGGAGAGTAATATTGGCCTCCTAGAGCCGGATAGCGGCACAGTGATAGCACCCTGTTCTGCAAAGCTGACCCACACGGGAAGGTTCTGGCAGGTCCAGAGGCCTGTCTGAGCGCTCAGAAGTGCACATGCCAGTGGAGGCTGGGGCGGGCTGCAGCACAAGTACCCGTTGAGGGTGCCTGTCTCCGTCCTCCTCTGATGGAAGACATAAACGAACTTTAGAAATACATATGCTTTCTTGAGCAGAGAAGCTACCATTACTGAAATAATCCAAGTGCCCCCAAACCAGAGGACTGTCGACCCTGAAAGCCCCACTGAAGGGCAGCAGGGCGGTGGCAGAGCACCCCCGCCCCCCGCCGTCTCCTGTAACCGTGTGTGGGCCTGGGGGCCACCAGCCTGCGCTAGCCTGGCCCACCAGCTGCCGGCCACACTGCCCCGTCCCGCCCCTCACCTTTGGGCTTGTTGGCGTGTGCAGACTGAATGTTCTTGGTCAGGACACGCAGCCGCTGCTCCCGGGCGTCCTGGAGCCGCAGGTACATCTCCCGCCATGACTCATACTCTTCTGGTCTTTCCTCCTTGAAGTCTCGGTGACAGTGAACTTTCCACAACTGGTCTGTTTCTTCGATTAATACCTGAAGTCAGGTATAATTATACAGGACATCATACACAAATATATATATATATATCATACACACACACACAGATATATATCATACATATACACACATGCACACACACATCATATATATCATACACGCACACACATATATATCATACATACCATACACGCACACACATATACAAAGATATATATCATATACACACACATATCACATATATCATACACACGCAGATATACATCATACATATACACACATGCACACGCACATCATATATATCATACACGCACACACATACATATCATATATACCATACACGCACACACATGTACACACAAAGATATATATCATACACATACACACATACACACATATCATATATATCATACACACAGATATACATCATACATATACACACATGCACACGCACATCATATATATCATACACGCACACACATACATATCATATATACCATACACGCACACACATGTACACACAAAGATATATATCATACACATACACACAAACACACACAACATATATATCATACACACAGATATACATCATACATATACACACATGCACACGCACATCATATATATCATACACGCACACACATATACACACAAAGATATATATCATATATATACACACATATATCATATAGCATACACATGCACACACATACATATCATATATATCACACACACAGATAAATATCATATATATACACATGCACACACATACATATCATATATATCATACACATGCACACACATACATATCATATATATCACACACAAAGATATATATCATACATACACACATACATATCATATCACACACACGCACACATATATATCATACATCATTCACAAATGCACACACATATATCACACACATGCACACATACATATCATATCACACACATGCACACATATATATCATACATCATTCACAAATGCACACACACATATATCATACACATGCACACACACATACATATCACATATATCACACACATATATCATACACATGCACGCACACATACATACCATATATATCATACACATGCACACATATATCATGCATATACCATACACATGCACACACATACATATCATATATATCATACACACATATACACCACATACATATCATATATATCACACACACAAAGATATATATCATATATACACACAAACATATCATATATATCATACACACATGCACACACATATAATATATATCATACACATACACACATACATATCATATATATCATACACACATACATATCATATATATCATAGACACACATACATATCATATATATCATAGACACACACAAATATATATATATATTTGTGTATGATACCCTGGTTCTGATTTCAGGTATTAAAATCATATATATATATCACGCACAAACAAATATACATATACAAACACACACGTGCATACACATACATACAAGCACTCTTTTAAAATACTTTTTAAAGAATTATTATTTAATTTTAATTTTTAAAAATAAAAAAGCAAAACATAAGGAAACAAGAAATGGAAAATTATTTGTTGACGATAACATGTATGTTGATGTGCTTGATTAAGCCAATATACAGTGTACTCTGGATGGAAAATCTCACTTTGTATGCTGTAATGACGTACAGTGAAAAAAGGTAAGTAAATAATAATAAAAAATTTGATCAGAGAGGGACTAGTAGTTGGCACAATGGCTATGTTGCTGGACTCCCATGTAGTCGACCATGGTTCGAGTCCCAGACCCAGTGGCTTAAATTCACACCAGGCGCATGTGTATGCATGCCCAAGATTCCAAGAGGAGAATGGAGGAAAAGGGATTGTGGCGTGGCCACCCCCTGGAGGGTGATTTCTTGCTTTCTGTGTCTCTGTCTCTCTTCCCTCTCAGAGAAGGTCACAAGAAAGCAAGTTGGAGCCGGTCTTCTGTCTGTAAAGGGCAGAGCTGGGGTGACGTTAACCAGATTACCCTGGCACCACACTGAACTACCGTGGGCCACCTAAGGACGCCACGTGGCAGAACTCTCGGAACCAGGGACAGCGAGGGCCATTGCTTGAGAGCACCTGCACTATGGGAAGGGTTGTCAGACAGCCGGCGATGTCACCAGGAGATAGCCCTCCAGCCTGTGCTCTGGAACACTCAGCAGCTGTGAGTGTGAGCCCCAGTGCCGCCCCCGCCCTGGTCCCAGGTGCTCTGCGGAACTCTCCCCTGACCTCGATGAATAGGCAAGCTCAAGGGAGTGCTGGGAGTGTTTTTCACTCCCTTTGAATCCCACCCCATTCCAGCCCAAGAGGCCCACTTAGAGGCAGGCACAGGTGCTAAAACTGTGCTTGTTTCAAGGCCCGGAGGCAAACCGAGCATGTCTGGACAGTGATCTCAGCCCTGGTCTGCCCTTGACCACGGCAGATCCACAAGACAGAGCTGCTCTGCGAAGCACAGGCCAGAGAACTGCCCTCTCCCCACCCAACCAGGACACTCACGTGGTTGTATTCCTCTATGCGATAGAGCTGATCGGGCGTACACCTCTCCAAAACAGGCTCGAGAACCGAGTACGGAACTCCTCCCACTTCGAAGATCGCTGCAGGGAAATCGAAGGTGAAAGTGTTGAAGAGCAGCCAAGCCACCAGGGATCGCGTCCCGACAGCCAGAGGGCAACGTGGGACTTACAGTCGATGTTGTTTTTAAGCACTCGGATGCACTGCTGGTGCAAGGTCATCATTTTGGGGAGATAGGCACACTTGGAACCAGAATACACCTGCATCTTGGAATTCATTCTTCGGCCAGTGAATCCAGCTTCTTCCTCTTCCTGGGGCGAAGAGAATGCTACAGGGCAAGAAAAACCAGAAAGGAAATTAGAAAGGCCCCAAGCAACATACTGAAATCTCCCCTTTCGCCGCAGTCTTCAGCCTCCTACTTCCCTTTCTCCAAGGCTATCGGTTTCTTGTGGATTGTCCCAGAGACTCTATGTAAAAACTAAACAAATATGTATGTTCTTTCTTTCTTTAGGTTTTGATCATAGGGCATGTGTGCTTGAGAGAGAGAGAGAGAGAGAGAGAGAGAGACAGACAGACAGAGGGAAAGTGAGAAAACCCTCCTCGGGGGGAAGGGTCATACCACAATCTTTTCTCCTTCACTGCTGTCCCAGGATTTTGGGTATGCACGCACATGCACCTGGAGTGATTTTCAAGCCACCAGGTCCAGGATTCAAATCATAGTTGGCCATGTGGTAATCCTGTGTTTTAACCACCATGCAACCTACTGGACCTGCCTTTTTTTTTTTTTTTCCATAGAGATTTTTGCGTGTGCAATAGGGTGCATGTGCTCGCCCAAGACACAGAGAGAGACAGAGTCAGAAAGTGAGAAGTCATCTCCCCCAGGGGGATGGTCATATCACAATCCCTTCTCCTCCACTCTCTTCTCAGGATTATGGGCACGCATGCACACATGCCCAGCATGAGTTTAAAGCTCTTGGGCCTGGGACTCGAACTGCAGTCGGCTATGTGGGAGTCCAGCGACATAACCATTACGCCATCTGCTGGTCTCAGTGTGTACTTCTTTCTTAACCAATTACTTTTCATCCACCACATTTTAGCGATCATTCCATGACAGTACATAAAACTCTCCACATTTCAGTGACATAGAACGGCACCTTGTGGATGAGCCACGATTTATCCGTTAGTCCTCTGCCGATGGCTCCCGATGTGGTTTCTAATTCTTTTGCTATTAAAACTAGACTTTTGTCCCTTAAGATAAAAATCAGATGTAATACACATAGGATAATAAAGGGCTGCTAATAACAGCAGCAGTTAAGATTTATTAAACAGTTACTATGTGAAAAATCTGGAGCTCTGGGGCTAGCAGATGGCATAGGGGTTATGTCGCTGGACTCCCAAACAGCTGACTGCAGTTCAAGTCCCAAACCTGGAGGTTTGAAAACCACACTGGGGTATGTCATAGCCAGAGTGAACAAAACCACAGACAGAGACAAGATACTAAAACTGGCAAGAGAGAAACGTCAGGTTACTTTCAAAGGCTATTCCATCAGGCTAACGTCGAACCTCTCACGGGAAACAATGCAAGCAAGGAAAGAATGGGAAAACATATTCAAAGAGTTAAGTGAAAAATAATTCCAACCAAGAATACTATACCCAGCAAGATTATCTTCATATGGGAAAAAACAGCCAAAAACATTCTCAGCTAAACAAAACCTGAAAGAATTTATCAACACCAGACCAGCTCTCCAAGAAGTGCTGAAGGGAGTGCCGTACCAGGAAAACTAAAGTCGGACACACAGAAATAAGAGCACAAGAAACAACCAAGAGAATGGCCGGCCTCATGGTAGGGACGAGTCCGGAGTTGAATGTTAACCCCCAGAGTTTACATGGAAAGATCAGACCGCAGTAACACTGCAACTTCAATAGAAGAGAGATTAATTATGTGAGTCTGATCTAGTGAAATAGAACTTTTTGATTTTAGACTAAAACATTACTGATTTTCTTCAATGCTTTGATTTCCATATTTAAGGATGTTTTGTCTTGAACTATTGATAGGTTCATCTACCTACTATTTGAATTGAATCCTAGCCTTTTTCCTGGCTTTAAGTTTTAAGCAAATTTCTCTTAACATTTTTTTATTTTGGTCTATTAAAACTAAAACTTTTTTTGAAATTAAAGAATGCATTAAAAAAATACCTATTAATACCTATTTAATGACTGCAGTAAGCTATGTAGCCCCAGCGGGTGCTACTTTATAGTATGTTCACCTTACTCACTGAGGTTTCTAAAATGTTTCTTTTTTAATTAAAAAAATGCATTAAACAAAACAAAACAAAAAACACTAGTGTGTGTGTGCATAAAATCCCAGGAAGAGAAGGGACTGCGGTGTGGCCATCCCCCCAGGGGGTGATTTCTCACATTCCCTCTCACTGTCTCTGTCTCTGGCGAGTATATGCAACCTAAGGCAAAAAGCCTCTTTAAAAAAAAAAAATCTGGAGCTCAAGGCTTTCTTGGCATTATCACTTCTTTTTTAAAAAAATATTTGTTTTTGGGACCAGCAGTTAGCGTAATGGCTATGTTGCTGGACTCCCATGTAGTTGACTGTGGTTTGCGTCCCGGACCCAGTGGCTTAAACTCACGCTGGGCGCATGTGCGTGCATGCCCAGGATCCCGAGAGGAGAATGGAGGAGAAGGGATTGCGGAGTGGCCATCTCCCCTGGGGGGTGATTTCTCGCTTTCTGTCTGTCTGGCGAGCGCACGCGCCCTACAGCAAAAACCTCTCAAAAAAAATTGTTTTATTTATTATTAGTTTTTAATTTGACCAAAGAGAGATGGACAGAGAAAAGGAAAATGAGAAAGCAAGCCACCAAGCCCCAGACTTGAACTGCAGTCGGCCACATGGGAGTCCAGCGTCTTTACCACCATGCCGCCTGCTGGCCTGGCATTATCATTTTTGAACCCTCTTAACAACATTATGAGGTGGACCCATTACTACTTCCATTTACGGACTACAAAACTGAGGTCCTGGGCCAACTCCATAGCCTGTGGTTAAGGGAGCCGGCCCCCACGTGGCTGACTGCTGTTTGAACAGACGGTGTATGTGCATGTGTGCCCAAAGTCCTGACAGGACAGAGAGATGCGGAAGGAACTGGGGTGTGGCCGTGCCCTACTGTGGGGGGGCTTTTGCTTTCTCTATCAGTGCACATGCCCTCTGGCAACTTAAAAACTGAAAGAGAAAGAAACTGAGGTCCAGAGAAATCAAGGGTGGCCCAAAGTCATATAATTTACAGAAGCCAGAGCTGGGATTCAGACCCGACGGTGCAGAACGCTGGGGGCTGTGCATGCCAGTTGCTCCAGAGCCTATGCACGTAGGAAATGCACCAAAACCCTGATGCTACGGTGCCCGCTCAGGGACTGTTTTTCCCATTGAAGAAGAAGACACAGAAAATTACCTTTTCGCTTTGGTTGGAAGGAGGACATCAACTCCAGGGAAGGAAGTGGACGGTAGTTGCCCTGTATGGTGGGTAACGGGAGGTCTGGCAGCACTGGCACCACGTTGGAGGGGACCTGCATGGAGGAGACAGTGAACGGAGAGCTCTCTCTACAGCACAGCTGTCTGCCCCACAGCCGCTGCCCACGAGTGTGAACCAGGCACCCGGCCCGGGAGGACGCAGGCTGGGGGGTGCAGCGGGGATGCCGGACACCACCGGGGCCGGGAGGTAAACAGACAGCCGGCCACAGCGGGACACCTCCGAGAACCCTAGCTACCGGGGCAGCTAGCCAGCCGGGAGGGAAAGACCGCACGGGCAGCCTGAGAGCCAGCCAAGGAGGGTGGGCGCTGGGCCGTGCGGGGCGGCCGGGTTACCTTTTTCGGCTTGGCTGAATCGGCTCCTGCCGGCTGCAGCTTCTCGGACTTGCTCTCGTTCCCCTTAGGCAGTCTCTGAGCCGAGTCCAAGTTTTTACTAGTGCTTTTAGAATCATTTTTTTTAAGTCCTTTCTCTGCGAGGGCCGGGGCGGAGGCTTTCACGATCTTTTTCTTTTTCTTCCGAGGCTGGTCATAGCTGAGGTATGACTCAAAGGACATGGTGGGCTGCTCGAACTCGTCCTCCACATCCGCGTCCTCGCCTTTCGGGAGGGAGCCCGGGGACTTTTTATCCGAGTGAGAAGTTCTGGCTTTCCCTTCTTGAGCTTTGAGGTTGTTAGAAACCTTTTCTTTGACCTTGGGGGAGGGATCTCCTGTCCCCCTTCCTAAGTCTACGCTGCTCAGACTTGGCTTGTTCTTGTCTGATTTGGTTTTCTCCGGGTCTTTGTGCTTTGGCTTTTTAAGGTGGTTGTCGGGCGCAACCTCCAAAGGAGGCAGAAACTTCTTCTTGAGGCCGCTGCCCTCTCTCTCCTTCTCTTTCTTAACGACACCGGAGGGAGCTTTCTCCTTTGCACTGTCCCCCGAGGGTGCCCGTCGGTGCTCCTCTTTGGAGAGGTTTTTGTGTGATCTCTCTCTGCTCAGAGCAGAGGGCTTCTCATCAGCCCTGGCGTCCCCGGAGCGTCTCTCCTTGTGGGAAGATCTGTGCTCCTTGTTTTGGCTCATCCCCCCTCTCCCCTGCGCTTCCCCCAGGTGTCGTTCTTGACTGACCCCCAGTCTGTCCTGAAAAGCATTACTGTGGCCTTTTCCAGGCTTCTGGTGTGGAACGGCGGGCTCGGGGTCGTCCTCGGGGGATCGGTAATGGTCCATGTACACCTGCTGAGGACTGGCGGAAGACGGGGGCGACTGAACGTGGCCGTAGTCTGAAGACTCGTGGTCGGAGGAGTAGGCCGGGGACGCTCGGTGACACCTCTTTCGCTCCTCTCTCTTCTCCTGGCTGTGAGACACTTTGTGAGGCCTCTCAAGCTCTGAGAGTTTTCTGTGTTTTTTCTGTCGGTGGTCAGGGCTGTAGGATCGGCCCCCAGAGGTTCTCCAGTCTTCCTGGAGGTCCCCCTCCAGCTCTTCTTCCTTCTGAAGAGCATCTCGGGGGCGTTTCCGGGAACCGATCTTCTCCAAGTACTGCTCATTTTTTTTTTCCAAGTCCTGCTCATCAGGCTCAGTGTTTCTAAAAGAATCAGCAGAGAAACCAGCCGTGAAGCTCAGCGTGTTCCTTGTGCAAAGACACAGACACAACGACCACAGAGGCGAAGGCGTGGGGGAGAAACAGCGAGGTCTCAGGGAGAGGACAGTGGGGTATGCTCACTCAACTGCGTTTTAAAGGTGAGAAAACACAAATATTCATACATGGGAAATGAAGAACTTAACTCCAAATGCAAAGAAGGTTGACGATTTCATGGATATGAAGATGCTTAAAGATTTCTTAAAGCTCAGGGACATGTTTAACTTCTAACACAAAAAGGGACTGCTAATTACTTACACTGTTTACAACCATATAGAAAAATGACAGGTCACTGTGGTGCTTTAGGCTGCTGGATCCCACATGGCCAACTGGATGGTTTAAAGCCCGGACCCAACGGCCTGAAAAATATAGCAGGCACATGTGTATGCACGCCCCAAATCCTGAGAGGAAATGGAGGAGAAGGGATTGCAGCCTGGCCATGCCCTCTGGGGGGTGATTCCTCACTCCTCCCACTCTCTCTCTCTGTCTTTGGTGAGTACATGTGCCCTGTAGCAAAATTTAAAAATGAATAAACAGATAATAAGTGAATAAAGCTTTTTTTTAAGAATAATTTTATTTAATTTCATTTATTCACTCATTTAATCACACGGAGAGAAAAAGAGAGAGAGAGAGAGAGAGAGAGAGAGAGAGAGAGATAGTGAGAAAGCAAGCCACCAGGTCTGGGACTTGAACCATGGTTGGCCACGTGGGAGTATCTAGCACCTTAACCACTACACCACCTGCTGGTCCCTGTGAATAAAGCTTTTAAAGAAGAGGTTAGAATATTAATAATTATCTTTATATAACAAAATTGTCAAAAACTTGTATTCTTTTTCTTTAAATTTTTTGAAATTTTTAAAGAAGAATTATTTAACTTTATTTATTTACTTATTATATTTGACCTGAGAGGGACAGAGAGAGAGTGAAAGTGAAAAAGCAAGCTGCCAGGTCCGGGACTCGAACTGCAGTTGGCCATGTGGGAATCCAGAGCCCTTGACCACCACACCACATGTCAGCCCCTTATATTCTTATTATTATGTTGATGTTTTCTAATATTGTAAAATAATCATTGATTATTTTTATAATTGAGTCAAAACAGGGTTTTTAAAAGATGAATTTAATTCAATTTTATTTATTATTATTATTGTCCAGTTTGATAAGAGAGGGATAGAGGAAGAGATAGAGGGAATGTGAGAAAGCAAGCAACCAGGTCTGGGACTTGAACTGCAGTTAGCCATGTGAAAGTCCAGCACCTTCAACCACCATGCCACCTGCCAGCTCCAACAGGTATTTTTTTCTTTTCTTTTTTTTTGAGAGGTTTTTGCTATAGGGCATATGTGCTTGCCAGAAAGACAGAGAGAGAGAGACAGAGAGACAGAAAGCGAGAAATCTCTATTCTCCTCTCAGGACCTTGGGAACGCACACATATGTGCCCAGCGTGAGTTTAAGCCACTGGGTCTGGGGGGCTTGAACCGCGGTTGACTACATGGGAGTCCAGCGACACAGCCGTTACGCCAACTGCTGGTCCCCCAACAGGTATTTTTTGCAAATGAGGGAAAAAAAAAATAAGTTAAAAAAATTTCTCCATTACAAATATTTCAAGTATCAGACCTAACTAAAAAGTTCGAAAAACCTAGAGAAATGTTCTTACCGTTCCACAGGAACCAGCTTCTTCCACTGGGCCACGAGGTCCCTGGCGAAGCTACCGACGTGCTCGTGTTTTCGCAAGCTGTTTACGGTTTTCCCAACCCCAGTCTCCTGCGAATGTGACACAGGAATTGTTAGAGGGCTGCGGAGAGGGGCTCACGTGCTTCTAAAGCAACAAGGCCTCCTGCTATGAACCTCGACGGCAACGCTTCCCGACACATCCCCTGCAAGTCTCGGTACTACACCAGTCTGTACCTGTGCCCAGAGCTCCAACGGCACCTGGGCAAAGCATGCCAAACGCAGAGAAGGAGACACTCCACTGAACGAGTACAGCAGGTGTCAGACAGCTAAGAGCTCTGATACAGAGTCCACGCCAGTCTTCACGATAACTCCGAGAGGCAGGAATCAATCCTGCTCCGTGAAGGAGCAGCCTAAGGTCACAGAACTTAGACTTGAATGTAGGACTGGCTGATGGCAAAGCCAATGCTCCTTTAAATTCAAATCATATAACAGAAAACCCACTATTTCAACCATTCTAAAGGACATAATTTGGTGGTTTCCAGAACACTCCAATACGCACAAGCACTGCTTCTACTTCATAACCTTTCTCTCACCCTGAAAAGAATCCGGTTCCTCCCAGTTTTCCCAATCCCTGTCAACTACTAATCTACTTATTTTTGAATTTTTCCGGGATGGGGGCAGTGTGCTCACCAAGGAGGTAAAGGCGGGATGGGAAAGTGACCCCTTCCTCTCCTCCACCCCACAGATGGCCAGGCCGCAATCCTTTCTCCTCCATTCTCCTCTCGGGATTTTGGCTGTGCGTGTACATGTGCCCAGTGTTTCTCGGTCGGCAGGATCTGGGCCTCCAACTGTGCATGTGGCCATGTGGGATCCAGCGCCTTCACAACCCCATCTGGCTGGTCCCCAGTCTGCTTTCGGTTTGTAGGCCTGCTCCCTTTGGACATCTCACGTAAACTGAATCAGACACTACGTAGCCTTTCGTGTTGGGTTCTGTTCACTTCTGAAGCCTATGTCCTTTGTCTCATCTATGCTCTCTCCAGAAGGGGAGGGACCTAGTTAGATAGTATCTAAAGTTACACAGTTCTTGGGGCCGGCAGGTGGCGTGGTGGTTGCGGGCAGTGGAGTCCCACAGGGCCGACCGTGGTTCAAGTCCTGGACCTGGTAACTTGCTTTCTCACTTTCTGTCTTTCTCACTCTGTCCCTCTCTGGTCAAATTTAAATAAATAAATAAAATGAAATAAACTAATTCTTAAAAAATAAAGTTACACAGTTCTTACCGCAAGGATGTCTACTGTGATAGGCAAGGCAGAAAGCTTTTTCAAATATTTCAGTAGCTGCAGAGAAAATAAGACAAAATTAATTTTTATAAAGTCATAATTGTATTCGCCGGAAGAAGTCAGACTGCTCCATGATGGCCAAGCGCTTACTCAAGGCTAAGCATCTCACAGCGCTAAGCGCGGTTACATGTTTTACAAACGTGAACACTTACCTGCCCCAGGGCCGTGGGGGGCAGGAAACAGGTCTGTGGCTCCAGAGTCCTCGCTTCCTACGACTACGCTTCACGAGGGTCATGCCAAGAGAACAGAGTCCAAACCTCCAATCTGATCAAACTCACCGACAACTACCGCTTTGGTCCAGTTTTGACAGAAGTTATGAAAAAGGGATCAATTTTAAGACAGTGGCCCCCAGACCTGACACGAACAAGGTGAAGAGAAGATGCAGCCTCTCCGGGAAGAGCGCGCCCTCGTCCAGAAGGGCCACGGCGTTTAACAGGACTGTCCCCCACACAAGCAGGAAGCCAGGAGCAGCCCCGGCTGTCAGAATCAGAGCTCTACTGTTAGTGGCCAACACAAAACACTGCACAGATCAGGAATGCAATCTCAGTTTGGCCATATTTCCTTTCTACAGTTCCTAAAACTAGGTCAGAAATCGGTAGAGCTGAGGTATCGAGACGGAGATCCGGAGTCAGAGGTGAGCTCCACAGCCCGGCACCGGCACCTCCTGGCCAGGTGAGCTTGTGCGAATCTGTAAGCTCCGAATCTCAGTTACCTCCTCTGCAAAACAGGGACTGGAGCTGTCTCCACCCTGCAGCTGTGGGGGCTCACTGAGGTGAACCGTGTGCAATCCTTAGTGCCTGGGAAACTACAGAGGCTCAGCAGATCTTACGGTGAATCATTTCACTCATCAACTGACAGCTCTGTACGCGCTCTACCCTCGATCCACAACCAGAGTCCTGGCCAACTCCTACTGGATCTATTTCTACCAGAAGGCGTGATTGGCCCTGCCTTCTCCAGGAAATGCTTACGTGCATGTAAAGCACACTTGCCCTACAAGGAGCACTGCAAAGGACAAGCCATTGGAGACAGGTCACGGTGGCCACCTTTCCATTTACATATGAGATAGCCGAATGGGCTCTTTCTCCACGTGTGGCCTAGGCTATAATCAGTATGCCATATTGCTGTGAGGTGGAGTAACGAGTATGTTTTTCTGGTCATTCTGCTTCAATAATTACTCAACCTGGTCGCTAGGCAAAGCAATTGGATCACAAGTGATAATCCCGTTGGACTGGGAACAAGGAAAAGGCCACGTGGTGTATCTAGGAGTGTGAAACATCACAGCTCATAGTGGGGATTATCCTCCACTTCAAGCTTAGTCACCACTGTCATCCGACTGAGGAAGATTTCAGGTGCTTTTCTTCTATCTTAAATGTTATGTATCATTATTCTTCAATTTAACCCGAGAGAGACAGGGGGTGGGGAGAAGAGTGAGAAAGCAAGCCTCCAGGTCCAGGACTCAAACCATGGTTAACCCATGTGGGAGTCTAGGACCCGAACCACCATGCCACCTGCTGGCCCCTTTGAGTGTATCTTGTCATCGAGCTACGGGTGGAAAGATTTACACCTATCTCTTGAAAGAATATTTTGAATCACTAAGAAGGTTAAAACCAGGTGGCTCAAGGGGTCAGCAGGTGGCATAGAGGTAGGTGCTGGATGCCACATGGCCAGCTGCATGTGGTTCAAGTCTCAGACTTGGCAGCTCGAAAATGAGGGCAGGGGTGTGTGCCCAGCATCCCAAGAAGACTGGAGAAGAGACTACAATGTGGCCGTCTCCTCTTGAGGGTGATTTCTCACTTTCCCTCTCTCTGTCTCATAGCAAAAACTGAAAAACAAACAGGGACCAGCAAGTGGCATAGTGGTTAAGGCACTGGAATCCCATGTAGTTGACTGCGGTTTGAATCCCGGACCTGGTGGCTTGAAATTCATGCCAGGTGCATATGCATGTTTGCCCAAAACCCAGAGAGGGGAATGGAGGAAAGGGATTGCAGAGTGGCCGTCCCCCCAGGTGTGACTTCTTGCTTTCAGTCTCTCTGTCTCTGTGTCTAACAAGTGCATGCACCCTATTGCAAAAATCTCTCTCTTAAGAGAAAAATAAATAAATAAATAAAAAGAGTGACACCGTCTTCACTGTCTCCAGGGAAAAGAAACACAGCAGTAGCTCACACAGTTCTTAGAACACCTGGAACAAGGCAGACAGTCCTTCATGAGTACCACATAGAGTGCAGTAAGAGGGCCTGGGGCCTCTACAAAACCAACTTACAGCATGGGGCCACAGTCACCGGGTGTTTATCTCAAAGCCTAGCACTAACCAGAGTAAAATTCTTTCCTCTGCATTACTGCAGCTTATTAGGGGCGACTTAAAAGCAGACAGAGCCCCTCCCCCCCGATTTTAAACCAGCGTAGCCTAACATTAAGAGAAAAAGGGCTGGGACCAGCAGTTAGCATAATGGCGATATCGCTGGACTCCCACATAGCTGACCACGGTTCGAGTCCCGGACCCGGTGGCTTAAACTCACACCGGGCGCATGTGCATGTGTGCCCAAGATCGCTCTCTCTTTGCACGTGCCCTATAGCAAAAACCTCTCCAAAAGGGCTTCTGGAGCCAGCAGGTGGTGTAGTAGTTAAGGGGCCGAGCTCCCACATGGTTGGCCTGGTGGCTTGAAAATCACGCCAGGCATGTGTGAGTGCGTGCCCCAAATCCTGAGAAAGGAAGGGGGGAGAAGGGATTGCGGCACGGCCATTTCCCCTGGGAGTGATCTCTCACTTTCCCTCCTGCCTGAATCTCTCTTTTTTCTGACAAGCCCAAGTGCCCTATGACAAAAACCTAAAAAGAGAGAAAGAGACATCTTACAACCCCTTTGTTTTCAGTAAATTTCAAGAACGAAGTAACAAGGCAAAAGTACTTTGGGCATCTATAGCTGGGTGGAACTTGCTGTTATCAAACTAAGGCATCGACGTAGCACTCGCAAGAACTGATAATGGAGGATGGAAAAACATCAAATATTTACATGGGGCATGCTTGGGAATCTCAGTTGTCCCTTACACATTTTTCAACCCAAACAACAACAACAACAACAACAAAAAGTTCTTAAGGTAGATCTCCTGGTTCTCCGCCTGTCATCAAACTGCTCTCAGTAGTTTTCCCATTTAAAACGTGACACAGGGCAGGTCCCGCCGTCAGCCACTGAAACTGTTTCCAGCTCAGTAGCAGGAACAGAAACCACGTGGCCCCGGTCGGTCTGATACGTTCTCCGAGTAAGCCTGGGTCAAAGGACTTAAAGTGGAAAAACAGTCGCAGTTAAACAGCAGGGGTCAGTGCCAGGAGATCCATGAACACAGGTGCGGAGTCAACCCCGCGGTTAAGCACGGTCTGACAGCGAGACTGGCTGGCAAAGTCAGTACTGCTATATAACCATCTTGTGATCTCACGGACGACCTGTGGGAGCTTGCTGGGTTAACAGGAGGCCGAGGGGTGAGGCCCGCGTGCCAGCTTGCAGTTTCCCTCTGCAGTTAGCTCGCTTCTGAATGCCAACCATTATGTCCCTTGCAAAAACGATCTCCCAACGTTTTCTCATCTTCACACAATGCAAAGCCAAGCTCAGGGTGCTTCTCTATCTGGAAGAGAAAGCCCAAAGGCTCAAAAAAATTACTAATGCTTCAAGTAGGTTGAGAAGCCAAAGTTTTCCCCTAATCTGACATTTCATGCACATAAACTAGTAATCGTAAAGCTACTTCAAAATTGAAATTCCAGTGCAAAAAGAACTAAAGATGCTACACAGAATTTTAAAAAAATCCGATAGAAATAAAGCCCAAAGGCGGGGGCGGGGGAGAGTGTGGATACATAATATTGCTTTAAGGTTTAAAAAAAAAAAAGCAGTCACAAATCTTAGAGTGTTAAGGAAAACAAACTAGTACTCAGAAATAATGACCATTTATTAGATGTCCACAAAGGGTTATTGTAAAAAGAAACTTGTAAATACGCCTGGCCACTAGGTATAGAAGCCTCCATAGAGAACAACACAACACAGTGGAAAACGCTTCAGGTGGCACAGATTCATAACTAAAATGATTTTTACCAAAAAAGTGTTTCTTTGAACTAGGTACAAACGAACAGAACTAAAAAATGGTCTGGGTTGGGAGCTAGGAGATGGCGTAGTGGTTACATCGCTGGACTCTCACATAGCCGACTGCGGTTCGAGTCCCAGATCCGGTGGCTTGAAAAATCACAGTAGGAGCATGTGCGTGCATGCCCAAGATCCCAGAAGGATAATGGGGGAGAGGGGATAGGGGAATAGCCATTCCCCCGTCGGGCGATTTCTCCCTCTCCCTCTCACTGTCTGTCTCTCTTTCTCTCCAGCGAGTGGGCATGCACCCTAAAGGAAAAACCTCTTTAAAAAAAAAATGTGGTACGGGGCTGAGAGGCTGTGTTTGGATTTGAGCCTGTTCCTCTGACAGGCTAAGGACAAGGGAAATGAAAAAGGGGCCCTTCAAGGAAACGCCAGAAGGATGGAGGCTGACGTGTGCCCTGGGCCTACATCAAGCCTAGCGCTTCGGCCTTCAGCTTAGTCCTAGAAGCAGGGAGGGAGCTCAGCTCAGAACTGCTCCGAGCGCACAGCTGGAAGAGCGCACAGCTGGAAGAGCTACGATACTGCACCCGCTCACGGCTGCCTCCCTGGGTACCTCCTCCCCCACCAGGGCTCTGAGGCTACGGAGTCAACTCAGGACTGCACGTCCGGCTGGAGGCTGGAGCGCTGAGCGGCGGGCGGTGCAACACCTTCGGTGTCTTCATCCACGTATTTCAGTAAAACAAGCGAAACAACTCTAACCGCCACGACACCCTCCTGGAGACAACCAAGAAGTTGCATAACAGAAGGACACAAAGGAAGAAGTATGCCATGAACTTAAGTTCTTAACAGAAACAACTAGTTAGGTGCCCTGGAACGCGGCGCCCGGCGCCCGCAGCGAGCAGCAGCAGCCTCAGCCTCCACCGGCCGGCAGAAGTCAGCCCCCGCCTTTTTTTGTCGCCCGGAAGTTTTTCGCAGCACAGCGAGGCGACGTGAGGTTTGACTCGGCTGTGCTTCGAAAGCGAGTCACCGGGAAGCGACAGGTCTGTGCTCTGCCGGCCGGCCCGGAGCGATCGGGCGGTCGGAGGCCCGGCCCCGCTCCAGAC